AAACGTGTAACGTTTCATTATTGAATGAAACAAATATTTATTCAAAGAATTAAAAACCTAATGGCAATAGCGTTAAGTTCAAAACCAAATTACGCTAACTTATACATAATAAACAGTTTTGAAAAACAGTATTAAAACGTTATATGTATATGTGACATAGTTATAATCTAGCGTCACTCTGCTTTCTATTATTTGCAGAGTCTAAACTTGTCGTTTATTAATATAAAGCTTTATATAAATTTGATTTTGCACTTAGATAATTGTGGTGGCTTTCACGTCGGCCCAAGATCAGTTATCTTAAAGTCTAACCTTGTGAATAATATAATGTACTCTTTGCTCGATAGACATGCCCTTTTATACTCTGCTTTTAATACTGCAGAGTTTAATAAATAAGATAGCTAATAGAGAATCTAAAATATTTAGATCAGTGCTAAGCTTTTGAATACTGTTGCAAATTGTGGAGTTGTAGTAGGAGGCTATAAGTGAAAGCATTATTTAGCTTTCATTGGTAAAGTGTAAATAGGTCATAATTTAATGCCTTTTTGGAAAAAACGTCTTATGCAATAATCTGCCTTTTTATGCTGTAAATTTGAATATTACTGTGTAATTTTAATTGTTTTTTTTTATTGATGTAAATTTTACAAGTATACTAAGTTATGGTGAAACCATTTTGTTATTTATGTTATTATATTCCGTTGCTGATAAATAACGATATTATTATAACGATACCAATAACGCTGTATGACAACGGTTTTTTAAATATTGTGATGATATTATTTTTGTGACAAAAATCTATTTTGAAATTGTAATAGTGGTGTATTATTATCTACTAAGTGTTGTGATGAATATATTTAATATAGCGTAAAAGACACGCACTCCAGTTTTTTTAGTGCTACGACTAGTAGCGAGGGCAATGGCGGACATGATATTCAGATATTTATACTAAGCTATTTTATTTGCTCAGAAAACCGTTTCTTGTAATAAAAGTTCGGTCTCAATTCAGTTCCGATCAACTCTTGATCTCACAACTGTTATACGAGGTATCTTCGTAGTAAATTATTAAACATCCAACAGGCGGCCGTCTGATCCAAAACTAGGCATCGCCTGTGCTATAGTAACCAGACTGCTGATAAACATACTTATATTTTTCTAAATGCGTACATTTTTTAGATAAATTACACCCAGACACAGAACAAATTGCAATTATTTGTCCTGGGTGGGAATCTAACCCATGACCGACTTACCAGTCATTGTCACTAACTACTAGATCAACAGGCCAGTCAACTAATTGGTTAATCTTTATCACTGTAAACTCTTGCTCTCCCCGGCTCGAAGGACCACCTAATGTTGGTTCAGAGTCCGCTCTACAATATCCTTGTAAATGTGTTGCAAATAAATATTATCTTGTGTTTAAATTTAAAATGAATCGTAATCATATTGGATATAAAATCTCATGACACTTGTTACGTCCGCCTTTGTAGTTCAAGTAAGGCATAGTGTTTAGAGCACGCGATTGCAAGTGATTTTATGAATCTACGCTAGCTATACAACATTTGTGATATATTTTATGAGTTTATGTTGCTACACAATGATTATTGTTTTTGATTATTCTATTATTAAAATTAGTGTGACTATACTTGTGTTTTAATTCTTTATTTCTTCGTGTTCAATACATTCGCACGCTAGACAATATCTGTGTATTTTTTATGGCAAACGAGCATACAGATCACCTGATGGTAAGTAACCACCACCATGGACACGTGCAACTCACGAGTCACAAGTGCGTATAGAATCAAGATCAGAGGAGAGGATTGCTCTCCGGAAACCGGTTTTCTGTGAGGCCGTGGTATTACTCTGAGGGCCAATCCATTTGTGCCGAGCATGGCTTTCCCATGGCTAATATCTAAATGATTTGTGATGTTTTTATACATTTAACGATTAATTGGATTAAAGTGGGTGAAAGTAGCAATTTTTGGGCACCAGCATGACGAGAACCAAAACAGACAACCAGCCATTCTGACGCTCACAAAGTTAATATCCTTATAAGGGTGAATACTTATCATATAAAGGTTTCCTTTGTGCCAGTTTAATATATGTTTGTAAAGTCCCCGCAATACAGGATTTATTCCTAGTACGGGAGTGCATGCAATATTAAAATTACATATATACATAATGACCCATGGCTCATGGAGTCATTGGTCATTGTGTATGTGTAGATGTACACATAATACTTACAAGTTTTGCAACTTGTAATTTAGTAGCATTTGCGTGTTACGGGGCATGCTTTTGCCGTCATCCGCATTTTGGTAAAATTTGAGTATTTTAGACGGAAAAGGAGGTAACTAACGCAAGCTATAAAGCTTCCGTTAGTTATCTCCTTTTCGGAAGAAATTCGGCGGAGTTGGAAATATAAATTTATTTCCAAGACAGTTTAATTTTGCCCGGGACTTCCAGTGTCATAACTCGGTGTGCTCGTGGGTCTCTGCTGATGTACAGGAGTTACAGTCGTGAGCGTGTGGGAGGGATTAGTGCCGTTAAAAAAAGGGAACCTTATGTTAACTGTAAACTCAAGCAGGTCAGTGCAATGCCTATAACTCGACTTGCCCGAAAGTAAAACTAAACTACAGAAACTAATTTAGGTATGCATAACATTTACAAACGGTTTCTTTATTTTTTATTTCCAAAGGTATAAGTAAAAATGCACATCATTTAAAAATATTGTTTATTTACACTTATTACAATAAATAAATATAGTCTCGCTCAGCATCATATTTATTTACAGTTATATTGCTATTTATAAATAGTTATAACAATATGTCAACAATCCAATTGGTTCATCACTATCATATTTAACGTACAGTGAATACAGTAATTTATTCTTAACAGAAAGATTTAATTCCCCAAAACACTTAAGTCTGATTTAATCTTTGATTGCTTCTACAGTAGAGGTTACACTTGGTTATATACTGACTAACAAATATCAGACTTGATTAAGACAGCTATTTATGTACAAAACTGTCGACCAGAACATCAAATAATGATATTATAACATGACGTATCTCACTGATGCTAATTATGCATTTCTAAATTCATACATATTGATAAATTACACCCAAAACTCAGAGCAAATAATTTATCCTGGGTGGGATCCAAAACCATGATCTTTGGTTCAGAAGATCACTAACCACTGCACCAACAGGCCCGTCAAGGGGTAAAACATATACAGGGGATCCTCGAATATACTTAAATAGTGTTGTACTTAAATTATTTTCCTAAACCCCTTTTTTTCAAAGCTGCTTCTCCAGTCGACTGTGTTGTAACATCATTTGCTTGTTTGAGGGTTATGAAAATATTAACATAAGTGAAATGGATAGAACAGAGGCCCAAATAATTATTTCACTTATACTTGATCGTCAGGGTGACCGCGTACAGCGCTACGATTGGCCTGCACTGAAATTTTCACCAATCGCAACGCTAAACGCGCTCGCCGTCGAGAGCCAGTCCATGTGAAATAAACTTGCATTTAGCCCTAGAAAGCATTACTGACTATGTAGATTGCGGCCCACTTATAAGTGTTGTGTCATTTTTGTATGTCCATCTTTCCTTTTACCAGTTGAATTCACAATTTACTATAACTTTAAAATTTTATATAATAGTCGATTTAATTTAACAGTCGATCGATCGATTCGTTTCAGACGACCATAAATTAATTATAAAACTATCTCAGAATCACGAGATATCTTCATGTGTTACTAGAGTGCAAAAAAGAATCCTGGACACCAATACTGTATTTTGAAAATGGAATAAAATGTTTGATAAAAAAAAACAATTTTTAAGTTTAGAATATATTGGCATGTCACTATTTAGTATTATATACATTAAAAGAAGTTTTTACTTTTAACTTCTTTGCCTATTCTTTTCATTACAAAGAAGACTTTCAAGCATATTGTTAATTAATATTGACTAGTGACTTTAACATTTTTTTCTTGATCTGTATAAAAAATATTATCCCAAAGAACATAGACAATGTACAGTCCATTAACAAATGCATGACTGAAGAGACATATTTTATTGCAAATCAACAACTAAATTAGGCATAGCTAAAGCTCATGGGTTCCGTGATGGTTTTAGTCAGATTAATTCTGATATGGTCATTGGTCACCACCTGCAACACATCACCATGCATACCATTGCAGAATGTAAACTATCGCCTACGGCATTTCTAGATGTTGATTTTAGATAAAAAAAAAACTTCATGCAAGACTGTTTCACACTATTTTTTTTATGATATAGATAGCAAACGAGCAAATCTGATTGAAAGTGACCACCAGTTTTTTCAAGTAAGTATTGTTTGTATGATAAATAAAAGAGGAAAAAGTAACGACATTTTAGGCCCATCCGTACACCGATATTTTACCGCATTTTTTTACGCAAAATTCTGTGACACATGGGATCTATATAGGACTACTCGCACTGGCGGAAAAAAATTCACGCGAAAATCAACGTGAAGTGATTTGATGCAAACGGTGTCGATTTATTTTATCGCGAATAAAAACCTTGCGGTGAAATATCGCTGAGTTCGGGCCCTTAGAACATTTTTGTAACAAGCGACAAGGTGACAATATCTCCCGTTTCAAGATAATATGCATAGTGTTGTAGAATTAACAAGTTTAAATGTCATTATCTATTAAAGTAAATTATTTAATAAATATTAAAAGAATTTTAGATATTACACACATAAAATCTAATGGTTAATATGGTATTGCATTATTTGTAACCCACAGCAATTTGGCAGCAGTCAACGATCATCACATATCAGACTCAACAGATGTCAGACCCAACGCATGTCAGACCCAACGCATGTCAGACCCAATCTACGCTACTATTCCACTGAACCCCTTGTATGTACTGAACGATTCCGATTTACGCTGATAACCCGGCAAGCATATGTCAGACAAATATATTCGGCGGTAAAAATCTTTATTTAATGATAGTCAGTTTCATAAGTCCACCTTAGCACCTATATTGCTGAGTGGTATAGCTTGGAGTTCAGTTCGTAGACATAGGAACTCACCACCCACACATGTGATGCACGCACACGATACTGATAGTGCCCACCATGAGAATGTTGTGGGAAACGTGCCATTGTACATCCAGCAAGCGAGGAGATGGATCCCGTGGTATGTGCAACTGCAAAGGCAAAGTTTAAAAATAAATAAATAAGTAGGTTATTTAGATATAATGAAAAGATTTAGACTAGTCCTCCCTGGAGTACTATTGATTCCATAAGGTTAGCCTGCATTAATAATAATAATAAATTTATTTATTTCAGTAACGCATATTTAAAACATAAATTTCGTTGTCGCGGCCTCCTTTTGCCAGCATTATCAAAGAATAAAGGATTTTTCTAAGCATAGGAGGGCCAAAAAAAATTCAACAATGAGCATTGTAAAGACATTATGTTCCTATTTTTTTTTTGGGACGAGAAATACCCTGTTTCGTCTTCAGGTCCTTCTGATAAAGTTGCAAAAACTTTATGATAAGCAGTTGAACAGTTGACATGACAAATAAACAAACTAGAGACAATAGTAAGTACATAATAATAATAATAGAAGTTGTCTCTGAAGGAGGTATGGTGATTTTGATTTCAAGTAAAGACTAATAACACTGCTTTATCAAAGTTTCCTTTTTTGACCTCTTTACCGGGGTTAACAATGAAGTAGCTTATCAAAACACACTAAATAAATAATATCACAGTTTATAGTAGACCTTCAAAAGAAGTATCTCTATTACATTTATAACTTTACTAGACTTCACATCATTATCACATCAACAGCCTTTAGTAGTCCACTGCTGAACATAGGTCTCTCCTTAGAAAGGAGGTTTTAGCCTACTACACCACGCTGGCCAGACGGGTTGGTACAGGGTTTGTGTCAAGTTTTCCTTCTCTCTACAGTGCTGTTGTTCTGTGTAGTTTTCTCCCTTAGTCGGCTTCTACGACACCCACGGCATGAATAGGGGTGGTGACACTGTATTCTAAATTCTAAGCTTTACCTAAAGTCCAAGCACAGTTTGGTCCTGCCGACTATGGTCCACAGGGCGAAGGCTCCAATTATTGCATTCAACACAAATGCAAAGATTACAGATCTGCCTTCATTGTCACGTACATGTATCTCCTGTAAAGTTTAAAGTTAAATTACGGCCTTTAGCAATCATAACAAGAATATAAAGACTGCCCTGTTGGTTTTGTGGTTAGTGATCCTGACCTGAAACGGGAGGTAGTAGGATCAGTTTCCACACAGAACATATATTGTGCTATGAGCATGATCATGTGTTATGTGTCTGAGCATAATTTATCCATAATATATCGTCATCATTACGTCAATAGTCGTCAACTGCTGGACATAGACATAGGTCCTGTGCTGTTCGCATTCAATGGCTTCTAACAGTCTTCACCAGGTCTTCGGACAACCTTGTAAGAGGACCCACACTGCGTTTTCCAATATGCGGTATCCAATCGGGGCACATTGCTTGCCATAATATATTTAGACATATTATATTAGTATGTTGGTTTAGATATATATGTATATATATATATATACTGTAATATTAAAAAATATATTTTTGGCTAATGAATGTCTATGTTGAATACAAATGAATGAACTAACTGGTCCGGCACCACAAATTCTAACAAAACCAATAATCTCGGGCGCCAGGTGCCGGCTTAAATGAACATAGACAACTAATAACAAATACAATAAATACCTTGAATAGCTCGGTCAGCGCTTAGACTTATAATCTAGGGTGGGGGGCAGCTATTAAATTAAGAGATGTTATAAAATTAAGAGGCAGTTTATTTATCCCGTAGTGTCTGAAGAGTACATGGAATATTATAGATCTAATTACGAATGTAATTCTTATTCTCAAATTAGTTCTGTCATTAATGCAATCCGTTTACCTTGATAATACAAATTAAAGGTAAAATAACTTTAAAAGTCATATAATGACTGTTTAATACATAAAGAAATTAAAGGTAGTTATCATAACGACCTACTCCCAGAATAATAATAATAACGCCCCTTAGAGTATCCGTTATGACAACGCCAGTAAAAATTCATATCAACAAAAGACATACCGATATCGCTGGCACAGTCCGTTTGGAACTATGGTAAAACTAATTCCTAAAACGCGCACTCCTGTTCTCCACGTGGTTGTCGTCGTCGGGTAACTAATCCATCATTCCTGGTTCCCCGTCCCTAGTGAATTCAAAAAATAGGCTACAGCCAGAGGACTTTTCCTGCCATTAGAGGTACTTAGGAAAGGAAATCCACTCCCTGAAGCAAACTAAATCCCTCGATCAGGCAGGTTGTGAGGTAAAAACTAATTGTAACAAAAGGAAATTGCAATCTAATAAGAATAAAACCCCACAAAAAAACCCTGTTACAGTACAGGGTTCCAAAACGACTCCCAAATAAATCGGAGGCATTACTAATAATTCCTAAAAGGCAGAATAACACTTCCATTAAAAAATAACTCGTTTTCTTAAAAAAAATTGGCCAACCTTTCAAAAACCTTTCAAAAATCACAAACATGTCTACCCCGGTCAGTTTCGCCCAGGAAGATGCAAATGCGACAAAAAAATGTTGCTAGAGCACGAAGTGCAAAAAACTGCAATAGTATCACTACAATAATCGCTTAAAATAGACTAAAAATCTCGACTGTGACGCCATCTCTCGGAGCTTACTGAAACGTCAGAAAATCCATCTGTCAAAAGAACCTACAAAATAACAACACGTTGATAATTAACTTTTCTGTAATAGTGCAGAAATGCAACGTTACAATATCTGGCAATACTCTGGACCTCTATAATATTCATCAACAGCCTTTAACAGTCCACTGCTGGACATAAGCCTCTCCTTAGAAAGGAGGTTATAATATTAACAAGACTAAAATGATAGAAGAGCGTACTCCTTCCGAAAAGGCAAGGCAACGCGTTTATGACTCCTGAGTTGCAGACGTTCATGGGTGGCAATGGTCATTTACCATCAGGGATAAAAGTTGCCCAAATTCTGGCCTGTCTGAGTGTCTGCCTCCCTCTACCATAAAAAAAATACATGTATGTGTTGAATACACTTCTATCTGCCCATTTTGGGGACAAAGATGTGTGTGTGAATATATTAAGGTTGTGAGATAAAGGTAACAAAATGAAAAGTAATAACATACATACTCATAGAAACTTTTACATGTAATTAAATAAATTTTAATCTAGTTGTGCCACATTTTCAGTGGTAAAGAGATAATTATTTTTGCAGTTTTAACATTTTACTACTATTTGATAGAGAAAAAAACATGAATTTCCTTGTAAAGCTGATTACAACCACCCGACCAGTACTACCTCGACTCGTTGTCGTCAGGTGGGTCAATGGGTGTTGTTCACATTCAAAGGGGAGCGGTAGTTGATGTTGTTAGTGTATACCCATAGTACTCCAGACAAAGAATAGTAACTGCTCGAAGCGAGGTAGTGCTGGTTGGGTTAGTGGCTGTAACATGCTAAGACCTTATTTCTTTTATAAAATTGTTATTGTGTCAACACAGAGTCAGTCACTCAATTGCTTATGAATTTGAAACCTACAAAATAATCAAAGAGACTTATCACACTTTCAGCTGTGATTAAACAACTAGTTCAATATTCCGTTTAAAATATTATTATGGTAACAACTAATTCTACATGAGTGGAACAGTACACTCTTCTGAAAAAGAGTTATTATTTCCTCACACACTTGATACTGCCACGACGATATAATATGTTTATGGCTCACCTAGCTAACCAACCCATGACGCATAAGGGACCACTCTTGAGTCTAAATGCCGAAACCGAAGCCCACAACCAATACCAATACCAACCATACAGAAATTGACCAGTATTTTTTATTATTATTTCTCTAAATAGTATATATACGTTTAAAACATGTTTATTATGGTCTATGTGAATAACTAGAAAGAAATATTTAAAAAATATGAAGGCACCATAAACCAATAATTAGATGTTATCTAATGTTTTTAATTTAACAAACATTACTGTCTAAGTAAACAAACATGTTTTTGAGTAGATAAGCAATCAGTTTACTCACATGATATTCAAAGATATGATCCAAAGTCCTCGTCGAGTCCGTCAAGTCTTGCATCACAGCAATGATCAAACACAAGCTGCAATATAACACAGACTGCATGGCCACTATTTGGGAGGTGATCAAACAAGGGTCCCACTGCGTATAGCGGAATGAGCCCGTCAATTTCTTAATTTTCGACATCTTTACACTAGAACAACTCTAAACCATTAAATAATTCCAATGGCTAGCGTTTAATTTATGTTGGCAATAATTTGTATGGCTGCTGTCTCGTGTTAATAAGTTTAATTATAAACATATGGATTAATTTCGAAGAATGACTGAATTAAAAAACTTTTATTTGATAATACTAGATGACAATTTAAATGAAATTCCAACACGATTACTCAACAAGTCAAAGTATTGTCAAAACTGTCAGAAAACCGTGTTCCATTTGGTCAAGTTGCAAAAGTGAACATAAAGAATTTTTGTTTTCTGTTTTTGTAGACCACACAAAAATGTCTTTATGGACCATGCATCGACAAGTTAATGTATAGTTCTTTTATTTATATTTTTATACCTTTAATCTTAATTTTAAAAGAATCTGTGCAGATTGTTTTTTATTATGTTTAAATTATAGAGTTTACCTTTGCTGGAACATTAATTATTATTGAGGTCCATGTCGCATTTGCAATAATATAGGAATACATGCAATGGGAGAGGCCTATGTCCAGCCGTGGAATGCGATAGGCTTATGATGATGGCTTAAATAGACGTAAGAACCTTTAGAGTACGTACGTAGGTACTAAAAAAGCCTTTTCGTAATACACCCCGTCAACGAAGGAGACTTACCAGTGTCCTTTTGGAAATGGATTTTTTTCCACTGGAAATGTTTACTGCCATGTAATGTTTTGCATACTAAATGTAAGTGTGAAAGATAGTACCGACACATACAATTAAAAAAAAATGCAAACAACCAAGCCCTACATGAGTCGCATATGATGTATTTTTGCTTTTTTTAAGGGACCAATCGATCCCACATGCTCACGAATTTAATCGGAAGAAATTTTGCGGAGTTGAAAATATGATAAGTAAATCGCATGATGTGTTCAATCTGACATCTCACTTGTTATCGGACGGGTAACTCTAACACAGAGTGCTTTCAATGAGGGTTTTCTGAAATGTTTCTCGTGAGATGGCAACACTGTAGCGTCAGGTCACGGTACAATTATAATACAGTACTCCAACTTCATACAAACGGACGAAACGCGAGCTATACCTACGCGCCTCGATCTCGGGGTACGCTCGGGGCACAGACAGTTACGGCTGTACCGCAGTGTCGAACGGACGGTGTGTTGTTTATTTTAACAACAACCGCGCGATTTTTTCTCTAAAAATCAGTTAATATGACGAGTAGGAAATATTGTGCTGTTTTTGATTGTATGAATTCGTCAATAACGCATCCAGACATAAGTTTTTTTATTTAAATTACCTGGAAACTCTGAAAGGTAAGACTATAAAATAATTTTACTTACTAGTAGGTGGGTACATAATGTGTGTCTTATAATGGATAAGTATTTCCTTTTATCTCACGAAAAAAAAGGTGTTTGGATTAATAAATAAAGCGAATAGAGTAACGGAAAGTTGTTGAGACGAGTGAAATAGGTAGTTATATGCGGTACTTGACACAAACCCTATACCAACCCGTCTGGCCAGCGTGGTATAGTAGGCCAAAGCCACCTTTCTAAGGAGAGGCCTATGTCCAGCAGTGGACTATTAAAGGCTGTTGATGATGATGCGGTTCTGAATGAATCATGATACGGTAGGTACCTACCTACTTACGCTTGTGTTAAAACTTCGGTTCATGTGTGTTTTGTTACTTTGCATAATTCAAAGTAAAGACGTGGTATTTTATTATTAATAATATTTGTTCATTATCAGTGTGTATGAATAATACTAGAAAATTTTTTTTACCGTCGGTGTGTCATTAGATAGTTTTCGAAATTTTCACAAAGTGTTTCTGCTGCTACTATGACAACATATACCACTAAAAACTGGTTTTATTTTCTCGGTATTAACAACAACAGCTAGACTCATATATAATATTTAGATGTTTGAGGGTAGTGATTTTAAAACATTCGTAGTCAGCTGTTCAGCTTTTTAATAATTAATTAATTAGTGACCAAAGAATTTTTGTTTTGAGTTGTTGCGAGTTGTAGGTAGGTACCTTATTTATAGAGACGTTAATAAGCTGAGATAAAAAGTTACTTACTCATCAGCTGTTTCTTGCATTCTAGTTGAGTAGGTAGATGTTGGAGTTTCTAAGAATTGGAGTTTTGTAACGCGTAAGGAGAAAGCACATTTTTTTTATTCTATAGAAGGATTTTTAAGCTATTGCATAGCTTTTATCGCGGGCTCTGAGCGCGGCGCGGCGCGGTGACCGAATCAAGAAATTCTCAAAACCTAACGAAAAATACCTGACACCACGCAGATTTTTTTCTTTAAAAAAAAAAGTTATGCAATAGCTTTACCGCGGCAGTCTCCGAGAGTGCCACATGTATTTTTTTTTCAGACGTCTTCAATGGTTGAACTGATTTGGAAAAAAAACCTAACTTTAGTTCCTACCAAGTTTGTGAAAAACATTTTAATTTGGAGGATGTATTACATTCATCAAATAAAAAACTTTTAAAAAAGAATGCCCTACCATTGTTGATGCTGCCAAGCTTAGCTAGCACTGATCCAGGAGTCTCTCTAAAAGAAGATAAACAAACCTAAACTGCTCCGTTGGTAGGAAATGAAAATAGTACACAGACTGAAAATGCAATAAATGAAATCTTTGCTCAAACCTCAATGAGTCTCTCTAGCAACACTCCAAGAAAAAGAAAATTGAAACTTGAACTCCTCCAATGCAGAAAGAAAATAAAATAATTAAATCTACCAATCAAAAAACAACACGCATTTTTATTGAACACTTCCTATTCAATATACAAAGTATTTCATTTATTTATATAAAAAGGATATTTACAATCACAAATCTAAATAGAAACAGAAAGTAGGCAAATATAATTAAAATGCTGGAGACGGGCAGCCCTAACGCATGTTTACATACCGCGCGGCTGTAGGCATTTATTTCTATCATGCGGCCGAGTTACACTACTGTATTATAATTGTACCGTGGTCAGGTCCAACCACCTGTCAAAACACATACACGATTTGTATTTTTCGATCATTTTTTTGGTTTTTGGTTTTTTGGTTTCGTTCTTAAAAACATTACAAAAGGAAACTGATTTCTAAAATTTCACAGTGTTGTGCAGTGCCTATGTGTGCAAATAAAACTTTTGCGCCTCTCTTTTTGAGCTCAATTTTCAGTTCGGCAACCTTTCTCTGACCGTAATCTATAATAAACTCAATAACACTTCCAAATTCATAGAATTTCACTAAAATATTATACGTCTATTACTATCTGACAGCTGTTTGGACCTGTCGCATACGAAGCGCCGTCTGGTTTCAGAAAAAGTATCGAAGACCCTCATTCAAATAGCGCTCCCTACCTCGGTTTCTTGTTACCCACCCACCAACAGGAAATTGAAAGAAAAGATGCTACACATCAAAAAACACAATCTATTTGAAAAGGAAATAGTAACATATCATTAAAACTGCCTAGCTTTTTTTTCAATCATTTTTTTATCCATCATTAAAAGATGAGCTGTATAAGAAGATAATTCGTTAACCGATAGTATTTTTAAATTATTAAAAAAAACATGTGTAGAAATGAAATACAAATTTATTTAATGACAAGAGTTCTGATGTGGACTACAAGGCAACTGGTTTATTCACAGATTAAGCGAACAATGACAATAATTGATTATATTATTGTTATTGGTATCATCAACAGCCTATCGCCGTCCACTGCTGAACGTAGGCCTCCCTCAAGACCCGCCTCCTCGGTCTTGGACAGTCCGCAGCTATCCGCCGCCAGCCAATTTCGTCAAGTGTTCCACATCCGTCAGCGTGCCACAGGGCGCTCTACACCACGTTTGTCCAATCGCGGTCTCCACTGTAACACATATCAGCTCCAGCGACCATCAGTCCGCCTGGAGATATGTCAAGCCCACTTCGATCTCAGCGTACTGATTCTCGTATTAGTACAATTGTATACTAATAAAATAATTTTATAATCCGCTGAATGATTTCAAAATCTAAATTATGTTCTAAATCTAAAAGTTTTATTGGGATTTCTCGGTTACTTCCGTCCTAGAGTAAGTATAGGTATAATAGTAGGTAGGTAGGTATCTACTCGAGTCCATCGTAATAGACTGTTGTAATGGAACACCGTGTTTGTGGCTGTAGTCGGTTCGATTCCGACATACCACTTCATTGTGAGAACCGGTGGCCTGCATTATAATTAAATCAGAAAGTTATTGCTATTTACTAAATTCCCACTGTTTTTGTTTCAGTGATATTAATGTTAACATTTAACTGTTTTATTCTCAGACTTAATAAGAGAAAAAAAATGAGAGCTAACTGACACGCCATCTTTTTAGAACAAATAAAACAGAAATCTTACATATTATACAGAACTAGAAGTTAATATTTTAATTACTTTACTTTGCTAAACATAATTTTTATTTCAAAGCCGTGTAAACGAAGATTATCTCTTAATTATGTGTTTACACATAATAATCTTAATCTTCGTCTTAAAAAGATAATCTTCGTTTACACGGCTGTGTTATTATCACTATAAAGATTATACAGTATAAGAATTTTTCATAAGAGCAATTAAAAAAAACTGGTGGGAGTCACGCTCAGAGACGGGAAAAAGAATGAGTGGGTAAGAGAACACAGCAAAGTGAACGAAATCACTAAAAGGGTTGCAAAGTTGAAGTGGGAGTAGGCTGGGTATCCTGTTCGTAAACAAGGCCGTGGGGCGAGAAACGCTCTCGAGGTAGATCACAAATGCGTTGGAGTGACGACATTAAAAGACTGGTGGGAACAACGTGGATGGAAACTTCCCAAGACCGAGAAAGATGGCATAAACTGAAGAAGGCCTACACCTCAGCGGCTGAAAATACCAGAGGTCATGTTCGACTTCCACCGAGGACAAATAATTGTGTGATGAGCACGATCATTTGTTCTGTGTCTGGGTGTAATTTATCTATGATATGTATGTATTTATAAATATTTGTTTGTCGTTAACAAAAGTTTAGGTTGGTAGAAGAAGGCGTCATACGGCCTATAAGACCGTACGCCATCATTTATTGGCCATACGCCATTATTATGTTAATCAAAAACATTATAATTAATTAAATTTTTATACAAGGTTGGTTCGTAATATGTGTCTGCGTGATTCATAAGTTTACTTATTTATATTTCCTCATTCCGTCACAGGGTTGAAGCAACATTTGAGCATGTATAAGGATTTGGAGCCATTTAATTCAAGTACCACATTCTAATACCATTCGTACATCTTTGTAACCAAATTTTACCTTACATTTATAATTTTCAATGTGTTTATTTAAATTTCTAAAATACATTTTATGTTGGTTTTATCAGGTTTTTTGGATCACAGTGTAGTCAGTACATATCTATTTAATTAATAGTACAAAAGATGACTAAATTTAAGGTCCATTTTTTATGTCTATGATTAAATTCATTAAACGAGGCAAAAAAACTTAAATAAATTCCTTAATTGTTGCATCTCTTTTACATATAAACTAAAAGTCCGTGTATTGACGGATTAAGAATACGGAATGTCACCACCCCTATTCATCCCGTGGGTGTCGTAAGAGCCGTCTAAGGGAGCAAACTACGTAAGACAACAGCACTGCAAAGAGAAGGAAACTTTGAAACAAACACTTCTTTCTTCTTCTAGGCCAAAAACTTCTTTCTAAGGAGCGGCCTACATCCAGCAGTGGACTGTTTTAGGCTGTTGATGAGATAATTTAAAATACTATACTTGTCGGTTTTAGAACACACACAAACACTAGTCATACTTGATACACTTACACTCACCTCAACACAACCGCACACAGGCACTTCATCCTCGAAACTAACGGGTAACTAACTAGTTTGCGCCTAAAATATATAAAAGTTCAAAGAATAAATATTTCTATAAGAATAACTTTATAAAAAGATTCATATTATGTAAATTTATAAAAAGAATTTACATATTATGTAAATTCTTTTTATAAATCGCTATGAGGCTGTGTTGTATAGTCACTTCGCAGTCTGATTACAATGTACTACAAGTTTGCGGACTTTTGCATTTTTGTCTCGAGAGTGAGTGATAGAAAAATGCGTTTATTTCAAATTTATGCAATTTTTATTTGAAAAGAAACAGACTAGAAAATATTTATACACTGACCTATTTTACTAGTGGTTAGTGATTCTGACTGCGAAGCTAACGGTAATATGTTCGATTCCCACCCAGGACAAATAATTATGTGATGAGCCCGATCATTTGTTCTGTGTCTGGGTGTAATTTATCTTTAATGAGTTATTTAGAAATATAAGTATATTCATCAGCAATCTGATTACCATGGAACAGGCGCTGCCTAAGTTGGGATCAGACAAGTCATTATTAAAATATTTATACGTTACTAGCTGACCCGCGCAACTTCGTCTGCGTCTCTCAATAGTAATAAATTTTCTCCGTTTTTTAAGCATTCTTCATTGGTGCTCCGCTCCTATTGGTCTTAGCGTGATGATATATAGCCTATAGCCTTCCTCGATAAATGGGCTATCTAACACTGAAAGAATTTTTAAATCGGAAAAGTAGTTCCTGAGATTAGCGCGTTCAAACAAACAAACAAACAAACTCTTCAGCTTTATAATATTAGTATAGATAACCCTTCCTCGTTGTTTTACTCGCTGTTCATATCTTTACGGTCGTATCGTGAAGTTGCATTCTTACCTTTCTCAGTGAAAACGCTATATAATTCAAAAACAATTTTTTTTCGAAGCCAATTAATAGTTATCTATTAAAGCGCCATAGATTCATAGATTGTTTTTAGCAATGTAAAAACTATTAGACTTTTATAAGATACATATACAATTCCCAATGTTTTCTCTGCTTAAATGTCTTGTCGAACTTTTCTTTAAAATCACAAACTATTTTACATGTATGTCTATGGTCAAAAATCTACTAGGTTGTCTCCTGTTTATATTTAAAAAAAACGTAACTTTTGATATTTTGACAACGCATAAAACCTAATTGCTGCATTATTACACTACATAGCTACACACACAATGAGAATTAATAAATTTATTACTTTTTTACGTAGCTTAACAAATACTAGACAGTAATGAAAAATTCTTATACTGTATAATCTTTATAGTGACAATAACACAGCCGTGTAAACGAAGATTATCTCTTAATTATGTGTAAACACTATTCACACTATTCTTATAGAAATATTTATTCTTTGAACTTTTACATATTTTAGGCCCAAACTAGTTAGTTACCCGTTAGTTTCGAGGATGAAGTGCCTGTGTGCGGTTGTGTTGAGGTGAGTGTAAGTGTATCAAGTATGACTAGTGTTTGTGTGTGTTCTAAAACCGGCAAGTATAATATTTTAAATTATCTCATCAACAGCCTAAAACAGTCCACTGCTGGATGTAGGCCGCTCCTTAGAAAGAAGTTTTTGGCCTAGAAGAAGAAAGAAGTGTTTGCTTCTAGTTTTCCTTCTCTTTGCAGTGCTGTTGTCTTACGTAGTTTGCTCCCTTAGACGGCTCTTACGACACCCACGGGATGAATAGGGGTGGTGACATTCCGTATTCTTAATCCGTCAATACACGGACTTTTATATGTAAAAGAGATGCAACAATTAAGGAATTTATTTATTTATTTTTGCCTCGTTTAATGAATTTAATCATAGACATAAAAAGTGGACCTTAAATGTAGTCATCTTTTGTACTATTCATTAAATAGATATGTACTGACTACACTGTGATCCATAAAACCTGATAAAACCAACACAAAATTTATTTTAGAAATTTAAATAAACACATTGAAAATTATAAATGTAAGGTAAAATTTGGTTACAAAGATGTACGAATGGTATTAGAATGTGGTACTTGAATTAAATGGCTCCAAATCCTTATACGTGCTCAAATGTTGCTTCAACCCTGTGACGGAATGAGGAAATATAAATAAGTAAACTTATGAATCACGCAGACACATATTACGAACCAACCTTGTATAAAAATTTAATTAATTATAATGGTTATAATATAATAATGGTTTTTGATTAACATAATAATGGCGTATGGCCAATAAATGATGGCGTACGGTCTTATAGGCCGTATGACGCCTTCTTCTACCAACCTAAACTTTTGTTAACGACAAACAAATATTTATAAATACATACATATCATAGATAAATTACACCCAGACACAGAACAAATGATCGTGCTCATCACACAATTATTTGTTCTGGGTGGAAGTCGAACCCGACCTCTGGCATTTTCAGCCGCTGAGGTGTAGGCCTTCTTCAGTTTATGCCATCTTTCTCGGTCTTGGGAAGTTTCCATCCACGTTGTTCCCACCAGTCTTTTAATGTCGTCACTCCAACGCATTTGTGACCTACCTCGAGAGCGTTTCTCGCCCCACGGCCTTGTTTACGAACAGGATACCCAGCCTACTCCCACTTCAACTTTGCAACCCTTTTAGTGATTTCGTTCACTTTGCTGTGTTCTCTTACCCACTCATTCTTTTTACGGTCTCTGAGCGTGACTCCCACCATTTTTTCAATTGCTCTTTGGACCACCTGAAGTTTATGGAAGATGTCCTTAAGTAAAAATCTAAGTCTTATATGTGAGCATCGGTAAGATACACTGGTCATGAATGCGAGATTTTTGTTGGTTAGTTACTAGACCGTTATCTTATATATAAAATTCTCGTGTCACAATGTTAGTTACCATACTCCTCCGAAACGGCTGGACCGATTTTTATAAAATTTTGTGTGCACATCGGGTAGGTCTGAGAATCGGCCAACATCAATTTTTCCTAAAGACAAGGGCGACCCACCCCTAATTTTTTTTTTCAAAATTTCCTAGAAATAATGTATATGGCAAAACAACGTTTGCCGGGTCAGCTAGTATTTATATCAACCACTTCACAAATTATTTACAAAATTGTCGGATTGTAACGTTTATTAAACAATGCCCTAATCTAAGCGTTAGGTATTCAAAGACAATATTGGTCGCGTTATAACCCAATATAATATTCATTAAATATCTGAAACTTTTAACGGTATTGACACATCAATAATACCATATTGACGCAAATTACCATCTACAAAAGCAATGTGATTATTAGTTGTGTATTGTGGTTTTCCTCGCCTCCTTTTTAGAATAACAACTTGTAAGAAGATTAGTACAGTTGCAACAAGAATGTAAAATCCTAATGTGGGACGTCAACCTATACTAATATTCTAAACCTGAGGTTTGTTTGTTTAGTTGGTTAGGTCGCAAATCTCAGGAAGTACTGGTTTGAATTCAAAAATTATTTTAGTGTTATCTAAATTATTTTAGTATAGCTTGTTTAACGCGGTAGGCTATATAACTTCACACTACGACCGACGACAAAGACGAAGAAAATTTATTCCTTTTGAGAGATGCAGACAAGGTTGCGCGGGTATTCAATATGGCTAAAAAAGTTACCTGACAATATTGTGGACTAGAAGGAAAACTTTCTGGCCAGCGTGGTGTAGTGGGCCAAAATCTCCTGTCAATAAGTGGTCTAAATGTCCAGGAGTTTACTTTTAGAAGCTGTTGTATGTTAGAGGATGATGATGATTGTGGACTAGCCGTTCCAGAGCCCTGTATCTAGGGAGGGGCAAACCGGGGGCGCCCAAATCACAATATAGCATGATTAAAAATAGAAAACTTGCTCCACAAAGCGCCTAACATACGGAAGCCTGGTTGGCTCACCATACTACAAGTGAACAAATATATTTGTGAGTTTTTTTAAGTAATTTATCTCAAACGCTGGAGAGAAGAGCGCCACTATCAAGGTTCTGCCCCGGTTCGGAACAATCATAGCCGTTCCCCGCAATTTATATCGCGTCAGTGATAATTATTCCACCTATAAGACGCTGTTCAGCTGGCAGGCGTTAGCGTCGAACGCATGTTAGTATTTTTTCAAAAAAAGAAGACGGTTCTCAATACCGTTTTATTTTTTCAATGTTTGTTACTCCGTCTATGATGTATAAACTATCTTACTTTTACCCGTGCCTCCACCCGCGTGTATTTTGATTATCGTGGTTAAAAGAAGCTTTTCCCTCAACAATTAAAGCATCTCCATGCCAAATTTCATAAAGCTCAGCGGTTCAGCGGTTTAGCTGTGAAAACGTAACAGACAGATTGTTTTCTTTCCCATTTATAACATGAGTAGGGATTTGAAGGACCTTTTTTATTAAATTAAATGGGCAGTATTCTTTTGGTTCCATTGACATTTGAAGAAAAAAAAAATACCCTCTTAGGTGGCAAATTAACAACAAGCAGTACAGTTTATTACAATTACGGATCATGTAGAAGCACTGAATTGGGTGATGCTTTTTTTAAAGTCATTTATGTCGGAATAGAGTTTATTTACACGTGGGCCATTGCGGTCGAAGGTGCGTTGATATTTATTTCGATGTTGGCTGTAAAATTTAAAAAAAAATATGAAAACGGTAACATAAACCTATTGAGTTGCAGTATATATTTAGACATATCATACGAGTAGAATCAAAGTCTACACACAAACAGTTCCAGTAATATTGGACAAGTAATTAAGAAAGACATTCTATCATTATATTAATTCTCTATAATCGAGTGACAAGCCAACTCTACCTATTACTCTATCTAAACTTATCCGTGAAGTTTAATCTTTTGCTTTGTAACGAAATATTAGTTAACCAAGAAGTAATTATATTTTGTACGTACCTAAATATTACCGTAATTGAATCCGAATTTATGCATCTAACATGGCAGCCTTGTGGTAGCGGAACCAACATGTGTCAATGTATTTTTATAAGTTTACGTGGCCTCGCACAAAATCTTGAGACATTAAAAAATACTGTCATATATTTGAATGGTGTTTGCTTTTCTATCTCCCATTATATGTACATAGTGACACTATACCCTGTCATCAACAACTTTTAATATTTCACTGCTAGACATAGGCCTCACCTTAAAGATAAGGTTTTGGCCTATTATACCACGTTGGCCAGACGGGTTTGTTACAGACATGGGACAAGCAGCGTGGCGACCGCTTAAACCACTACGCCATCCGTGCAGTCGAAACTAAATTTCCATAAATGAAAATTGCCGTGTTATGCGTCACAGTGAAAAATACTATCTCCTTTGCATTCGCTTGTATGTTTTATATGGCTTATAATGATAAGCTACAAAGATAAAAAAATAATGATTTCAAAGGTTTTTGGATGATATCTTTTATGGCCTTTCTGACGTAGGTAAATCCTAGGGAATTTTATCGTCTTCAGACGAAACAAAACAAGAAAGTAAAAGAGATAAGGAAGAGTCTGTAGAAGATGATGTCCGTTTTCTTAACATCAACAGGGCAAGCCACTCGCTTACAAAGGACAGGGCAATCTTGACCTTTTCCTGACCCAACTTATGGTATCTATTATTTAGGGTAATAGATAAAGGAGTACAAAAGGTGGATCCCTTACTTTGGGAGACGTAGCTTGAGGGTGGGCCCGAATGGAGATGTAGAGAAGGGTGAGCGCTATCCTCGATCAGAAGCGCGTCGAACTCAAAACCCTACCACCTCCAGCAATCACGCTCTCATACTCATAGTGTGCAAGGATCTACACCAACACGACTACATAAGCCACATGGCATTGCCAAAACTGGTTGGGAGGATCATCATCATTATCATCAACTACCGGATTACCAAGATACGGATAGTAAACAGGACAGAGATTGCTGTAATCTGACAAAGCTAGGGGGACCTTGGCACTTACTCTTGTACATGGCCTATGATTAGTTAAGCCACTGGAGCAAACTATATTATGTTTTCTTCATTTCAGCTTACTTTTAGGCAGCTCTTGCGCTGCAGAGTACAAGTTTCCGGAATGGTTCAAGTTTGGAGCAGCTTCTGCCGCATACCAAGTGGAAGGAGCTTGGAATGTCAGTGGTAAGGTACCATCTACTATTACACTTATAAAATAAATATTTGTCTCCAACTTATGACTCGTCCGTGTGGTGACGGATTAAGAATACAGAGTGTCAGCACCCCTATATATCTCGTGGGTGTCGTAAGAGCCGACTAAGGGAGTAAACTACGCAGGACCGAGAAGGAAAACTTGACACAAACCCTATACTAACCCATCTGGCCAGCGTGGTGTAGTAGGCCAAAACCTCCTTTCTAAGGAGGTCTATGTCCAGTAGTGGACTAGTAAAGGCTGTTGATGATGATGATGATGAACTTTTAACAAGGAGAAGAAACACGGAGAAATAGCCCCCCCCCCCCTCCCCCCATATAAACTCGAAGTAATGTCCCGCGTTTCTAGGTACAAGAGAGGGAAGGTTTTTAGCGGGTAAAAAGCCCACACTACCGGTATACAACAACATGACAGGTGTCTTTTTGAAGATTTTCTCTTAATCACAATTGAAAAAGTACCTATAATTAACTTTTTGGTCTTCATTAAAGAGATAGATAAATTAATAGCTTTGTATTCGGATAATGGTATTATCGAAATAGTACTCTTCGCTTGTTGAAGGGGAATAGGTATAATGTGGTATAACTTATAAATATCTTGGGTGATAAGCGGTATTCTTCTCGATTTCTGACCATAACTGACCTTTCTACTCTATCTATCAAACAGACTGTGCTGCTGCCGGCAGGGTTCATAATTGTTACCACTTAAATTCTTAATTTACATGTATTTACATTATGAAAGCAATAAAGCATTGAGTATTGATCTGCGTCACTTTCAGATAAAAGCATAAGCATTTGGGACCAACTGTTACACAGTCAGCCAGGGCTGGTGATGGATGGCACTAACGGCGATGTAGCATGTGACTCGTACCACCTGTGGCGACGTGACATCGAAATGGCTGAGGAATTAGGACTGAACATGTATAGGTAAGAAATTAAGTAACTATTATGCAGTTGTGTTAAGCTTTGTATGAAACTGCTGTTAATCTCAGTACTGGTCCCATTGAACCCTCGGTTGAAATAACACACTTGCAAATAAAATAACGGCGTGAGGGGTCTATGGGCCCCGTTCGGAAGTTCGAAGTTCCTTTCGCTTTTATGCAGACGTTTGCCATAGTGTCGGAAAAAAGTCTTGTTACATATTTTTCGGTGTCACTCCCATCCGCTCCGAGCATGTAACGCGCGCTAAGGAACGAAGTTCCAACAGTCTTAGGAAACCTGTTTTGCAGATATGAATCCTTTTTGGTACAGCTTTCCTACGCCTTTAAAGTTACTTTTTGAAATCACTTAAGACTAACCTAGATTAGATTAAGATCTATATATCCGATCGGGTTATTTCCTTGGTGTTGCGTAGAGATGTAGCTTCACTCTGTAGTCTCTATTGTTTGAGTGCTCTAAAAATCGTTTTGGACGTAAAACGCCCGTAGCTTTCCACCATTGCTAAAGCAATAAAACATCTATCCCCATCACTTGGATAATTGACAGTTTACAATGCGCTTTTCAAAGAACTTTTTGCAACCAAGCTGATGAAAAAATTGTCAATTGCAAATTTGGGGACCGACACGACTTCCAAATTTTCAAGAAAAGCTTCACCTCAAAGGCTGGCAACGCATTTACTACTCCTGAGTTGCAAATGTCCACGGACGGGGTAGTTCCTTTCTATCAGGTGACCCACCTCCTATATCATAAGACAGTAAATAGTTTACTTTTTAAGGAACTTTGAAAAACTTGTAGTAGTAAATTTAAGATAGTATTGTAAAGTTAGTATTCAATGTTACGTGAGGGGCTTGTGGTTAAGTGGTAACCGAATAGGTTAACACGTTGTACAGTTAATCACACTAAGCAAAGTCAGTCTATGGATGGGTGACCGTTCCTTAACACTTTAAGATCCACCCGTGCCACAGAGCGCACGTTAAGTCTTGGTTGCCATACGAACATCTGTGGTAATCCTTATGGGTAGTTAGAGCCACACAACGATCTTTCTATATATCGCTCACTAGGTTGTGAAGGTCTGATAGCAGTCGTTCCGCGTCAAAATGGAATTTCAGTCGTATCGTAATAAACTTAAATCCGACCTAGTTTTGGAAAAAGCTCGGTGGAATTACATCAATGTTCTGAGCTAGTCGATCCATCTGCTATTTTAAAATGTGTTTTAACAAAACGGAACCAACATTTCAGATTCTCAATATCCTGGCCTCGTTTGCTACCATCTGGTTTCCCAAATATAATCAGCGAAGATGGCAAGAGGTACTACAACAACTTGATCGATGGTCTACTGGAGAAAGGCATCGAGCCCGTTGTAACTTTATACCACTTCGATCTACCCCAGTCTATACAGGATCTAGGTATGTTGAAATATCACGATGACAAAGAATGATAATGATAGTGTATTTTTACACGTTATTTGTCACGGATTAAGAATACGCAGTGTCACCACCCCTATTCATCCTGTGGGTGTCGTAACAGCCGACTAAAAGGAATGAAATTCTTAAATATGTATAAGATACAAGAATTAACAATACAGTTTATAAATCTCACCAAATATCAATTACAGGTGGTTGGGCGAATCCCCTAATTGCCGACTGGTTTGCAGACTACGCAGATGTAGTATTCTCCCTTTACGCCGACCGCGTCAAGATCTGGGTGACCCTCAATGAACCAATCAGCATTTGCGATGGAGGTTACCATAATATGGAGGCTCCATATATTGAAGACTTGATGGTTGGAAGATACCTCTGTAACAAGAACATTCTTGTAGCCCATGCAAAGGCTTACCGAGTCTACGATGAAATGTATAAACCAAAATTTTATGGTGAGTACCTGCTTATAATTGAAATTTTCTTCTTCATTCAGTTATTAAACCTATATAATTATTAGAATGTACATAATATATATAATTTTTCTTGAAAAAGACAAGTAATTGAGTACATAACAAAATTTTCCAAAGGCCCATAACATTTTCTACCAATCCGTTTATGAAACAATTACTGTTTCCCTAAATTATTATGCCTGGTTCAGCTAATTTTATCGTCACGGTGACCGCGTTCAGCGCTGATTGGCAGGCACTGAAATCTTAACTAATCGTAACGTCGAATTCGCTCCCTGTTGAGAGCTAGTTGATGTGGTGAAGTAACTTAATTAACTTGCACTAGGCCCTGATACCCGTGTGTATGTAATTTCAAACTTAACGTGAAGGGCCTGTGGTATTAGTCGTCACTCGATAGTGAACCAACGAGCTCGTCGGTTCATTTCGTTCGATTTTCGTGTAAAGCATCAAGTAAAGGATTGTTCTGCATCAGGTAACTTGTCCTTAATATGTACGTATTTAGAACTATTTAGATTTGTTTATGAGCAGTCTGGCAACCACAGTACAGGCTCTATCTAGTTTGAGATGAGACGGCCATATGCGACATCTGTCAAGTAAAAGAAATTGCGTTTATTTGTTTATCCCTGAAAGAGTAGGTACTACACGTCCAATCATCCTTTTTTCCATTCGTCGTCACAAACTTTCGCGTATTTACTATTATTAAGATATATTAATAGATACAAGTTATATCATAGCACTACAATACTACGGATAGTAGTAATACCCCCCCCCCTCCCCCCCCTCTCCCGGCTTTTGTTCAAAGAACGTCTGTACCATATTAGTCTGCACGCACTCTTAGCAAAGACAGAAGATTAACGGGGTGACGGTGCAGCTCCCGAACGATACCACATCATTATATCTAAGGTTTTGTCTACTTAAAGATTTTTATTTTCTTTCAGGAAAGGTGTCAATGGCAACTCTGTTCTTTTGGTTTGAACCTGAGACTCCTGAAGATATAGAATTGACAGATTTGGCTATTGAATATTGGGTAAGACGAAATTTATTTGTTTCCTTAGTATTGTCAAGAAATATGACGAAAATTCGAGAAAGAAAGAGAGAATTCATTAGAAGAGAGAGAGAAATAGTTTTAATAATAAGGTGGCACGGAACAATGAGTTCTAGGACAATACGTATAAGATCTAAAATAGATTGTCTCACGATTATCTTGTTTACATTTGAAACGAATTTGTAGTAGAATGGGGACATCGGGGTTCCCACACACAAGTCATCTACAAGCCGTAGCCGGCCCGGGGTGCCAGGGATTTCCTTCCTGGGGTACACCTGTAGTATACTGGTGGTATCCGAGGAGATACCCGCACAGAAAAAAACAGGAGATCGGACAGGAACGTTGAGTGTTATGTACTCCCCTGGGTGATCGAAGTGGAATAGTGAGTATTGTACAATCCCCTGGGGATTGAGTCAGGTAACTCAAGTAGGGGGTGCTTGGCTAGAAAACCTCCACTTCGTGCACCCTAGAAACGTTGGCGGTGACGCTGTTTCTTTCTCCGCTATTTGGGGAAAGGCATCACCGCCAACGGCTGATATTCTAGTACGAAGAAGAGGCCATCTTTCTTCGGTCATTCGGTCGAGGTTTGGTCCACCAGAGCAGGCGTGTCTGTCGATTCCGCTATTGGCTTTTTGCTCTTCGGGGCAATGAGGACAAAAACCTCGTTAAAAAAAATGTGAACATGCGGACCTCTCAGTTTGTCACAAATTTAAGCTTACCTGGTATTGGGGGATCTCTGCCCGGTCAACTTGCATATCTCCCCCACTCGTGGGTTGTAATATGCAGTCTAATACAAATACCAACGAAAATAGAAAGAAGGAAAGAAGGAGAAGAGTAGGAAGGATACTAACTTCTCATCTAATGAGGAGGAAGTTTTTCTTCTGACGCCTATATCGGTAGGGCTCCCAGAAGTCAATTTAGCTGCTGGGAGCCGAAGAGTATCGGAACGAACGAAGAGAGTTATACGCCCCAGGAGAAGCTGCCTCCTAAAGTGGGTAGCAGCCGTAGAGGAAAGCCACGAGTGCCGTCCCCCTAGCACCTGTTTCTTTGCAGGAGAAAGCAAACCAAAATCCAGAAACCACCAAATCCAGAAACCTTAAGAGTTTGTTTATAAGGGCTCTTAAGGACTCCTCTTTGGCTATCGCCGAGGTCATTGAGACCATTATAAGGGACTCGGCTCGCCTTCAGTCTCTCACGACCGTCTGACGGGGCAGGGGGCTGAGCTGTGCGCTCAGTTCATCTAGTTTTGGACGCAGGTGAATGTCCCTGAGCAACGAGACCCGGCTCAGCGGCAGCTTGCCCCCACTCTCGGTTCCAGTGACGTCCCTGATATCAACAAAATGATGTCAACAACCAACAAAGCGACAATGACGGCGGTGCCAAGGGCCGAATCTACTACAGTAAAGGCTGGAGTGGAGTTCCCTCCACTTCCCACTCCAACATCTGTGCCCCTCTACATCTGCCCCCACCAACGATGGGTGGCAGGTAGTTGGAGCCTCTAAGAAGTCCCGAAAGCGGGGTAAGAAGGCTACCAAAAAAACAGCCTCTACTCCACAATCACCTTCGGTGGCGGTGGCAAACAAGAAGAAGCCACGGTATGCCGCCTGAAACTGTACCCCGTAACCGGTCACCGTAACCCCGGCGGTAGCTAACGGCGGACTGTCGTACTCGGCCGCATTCAAGAAAGCCAGGGACAGTCTCGCCAATGATTTCGGAACGGTAGGAGTTAGGATGCGCCTCGCCCAGACGGGAGCTCGAGTTCTCGAGTTACCTGGGGTAGAAGGCTCAAAGACGGCGGACAGGGCTTTGCCGAGAAGTTTCGGGGAATATTCGCAGCCGCATTATTACACCGCATATTGACACCAGTCAAGATCGTCAGACCTGCCAAGTGCGCAGAGATGCGCATCTGGGTACGTTTTGAAAGTCTCTGGATCTGGCGACTTAAAATAAAGGAATGTAAAAGCAGTCATGGAATTCGAAAATGGAACTCTTTGGGAACATGTTACTTTTTAATTTGCGAGACTGTCATTTGTTTTTCATTGTGACGTCCTTTCGAAAATTGTATGTCGCTATCAAAATGAATTTAACTTGTGAACATTTTCGGTTCATGATTTTTTTATGATTTTCGTTGTGGCTTAAGTCAACAAGAGAATTGCCAGAGACTTCAATTGGCATTTGGTGATGAAGCACCATGTCGCAGCTCTGCGTATTTTTGGTTTGGAGAATTTAGTCGTGGACGTGATCATTTCCATGACGAGGTACGTGAGGATCGGCCGGCGACTGCGGTTACAGGCTCTAATATTATCACCATACGAAAACTAATTAAAACTGACAAAAAAAATACTTGCATGCAAATTCATGCTTTGTTAGGCATTGGAATGAACCATGCTAAATATTTTATATGCACATCTGAAGGTTCAGAAGCTTTGCACTCGATGGATACTGCATGACTTAACGGAGGACCAGAAACGACGAAGTGCCCAGTGGTGCTGTAAAATTATAAAAAAGTTTAACAGAGGACAGTCGTTGGCTGTCTACAATATTCTGACAGGTGACGAAACCTGGGTGTACTGAGTGGTTGAACCCGAAAGAGAAAGCCAGTCAGCAGAGTAGGTCTTTCCTTTTAAAGATTTGCCGACGATAGTTAAGAAAAGTCAAAGCAATGTTAAAAAAATGGTTGCTTCTTTTTTCGAGAAATCAGGACATTACACTACAATATCGCTTGTAGCCGCTTTTCTTATCAGGCGGACTACTCACCGGCTGACGCAGTGGAGAGATTCACAAGATTACCTCAGGGCGCCTTTTATTAAACAGAAGTGTGTGCGTGTGGGATACCTACGGGACCCCTTAGAGAAAGACAACTTACACCTCAGTCATACATACATGTATATTTCAATAAAAAAAAATCAGTAACAATAAAAAATAGTGGGTATATATAAAAAAAACCGCAGCGGCGCGCGTCAGAGCCGAGCTGATGCTGCTCGGAGCCTCCTCGTCTTCAATCCAGGAGGTCACTTCCCCTTCCGCCCGAGTCGGCTATTTATATTAGGTATAAAGGAAGGTTCACTATTGATATAAATAAAGTTAACGAGAAGTACGTAACCCTTGAGTACGGCTGTCCGCTTGTTTGGTGAGCCGCGTGACTGCCAGTTTGCCAGAGGGTACCAAGAAACTTGATTTCGCACCAGAAGGCCACAAATGAAAAAGCACGCCGTCTGAGACTGACCGTCTTGACCCGAAATCTGGGACCCTACGAATGGATTAGCACTCATATTATCGATCAGGTTCCAGAAACAAATAAGTACAAGAAAATTATGAATATACTCACCACTTGCGTGGGTACTTCGAACAATAAAACATTACTAAAAAAATTACTACATTGAAATTACCAGACAAACAAAATAATATTTAAGGTCGGAAGACAAGGATTAACAGAGTGTCCCCTGTGGCTGTAAGCCGGACTTATATATGTTCGGTTTGTGAACTTTCCAGAAAGAATCCCTACTTTAACATTTCAAACTGTCACTCAAATTATTATCTAGGTTAACACGAACTAAATCAAAAGTAACTCGCTTCCTACCATAACAGGTCACTTATAACACCAATACAATTTATCAGGATAAATTAATCCAATGACTTACCTATAAAACAACGCCATCTAGTGGTCCGATGGCGGACGAAGAACAACAATACCATAGTTACAAACTACTTTAGATAAATCAACAAATGCGACGCGAGGCAACAGATGTCGCTTTTTACAACTCCGTATGCAATACAAATATAATAAAAAAATAACTGTTACACTCTTGAAGATCAAAGGACAGTGCCTGCAGATTGGTATGTCAACACTTGCTTGCCCAGAGTCTTAGAAAAAGATGGCGAAGAGCGTCCTAGAAGCAATGTCCTCCTTCACCATGATAACGCATCCTCACATTCCGCTAAGGTAACATAAGCCTATTTGAAGGCTTCAAATGTGGAACTGATGACGCATTCGCTTCACAGCCCGGTGCCGCACCTTGCCACTTCTTTTTGTTTCCAAAAATTAAAGACAAACTTAGAGTCACACGTTTTACGAGCCTTGAATGGGCGGTGAATGCGTTCCATGAAGCCATTGAAGAGGTCCTTAAGGAAGACTGGTCCAACTGCTTTGTACGGTGGTTTCAGTGAATGTAAAAATACATTAATTGCGAGGGAATATACTTTGATACTTTACTTACTTTAGTAAGATATATAGAAAAACAATTATTTACTATATATTATAATGCTGTTTAATTTAATATTTTAATGTAGTTACAAGTCAAAAATAATAAAGAGTACACCTCTATAACAATAAGTAATAATCTAATATATAATTACTCGACAATGATTATTCCAAATAAAAGTTAATTAGCTTTCAAGTCCGTGTGGGTCTATGTGGGTCACGTGGGTGTCGTAAGAGCCGACTAAGGGAGAAAACTACGCAGGACAACAGCACTGCAAAGAGAAGGAAAACTTGAAACAAACCCTATATCAACCCGTCTGGGCAGCGTGGTATAGTATAGTAGGCCAAAACCTCCCTAAGGAGAGGCCTATGTTCAGCAGTGGACTGTTATAGGCTGTTGATGATAGCTTTCAAGAAGATCAATCAGATCGTCTAAATCTTCTTCGCTGAACTATCAACTTTAGAGATGGTTGGTTTGCATGGCCGTAGGGTCTCGCCACGAACTACTGCACTAAAGTTCTTCTGGCCTTTAATACTCTTTTACTCAACATTTTATATAGGTCTAATGAATAATCTGGATTGGAAACTCTTTAGGGACCAGTGTAAAATCCGTTTCGAATTGAATTTATAAATAATTCGAAAATTAATGACCCTTATTCATCATTTTAAAATTTTTAATACTAACCTAGCAATATTTTCTTAGATAGATCGGCTGATGAACCTAACAGTGAAGGTAACCTTTTTTGTGTTTAAAGAGTCGTAATTTTTTGTTCTTTCTACAGGAAGGTCGTTATGCTCACGCTGTCTTTTCCGAAGAAGGCGGTTGGCCGAAGAATATTGAGTTACTATTACTAAAGAATGGATTAGATGAAAACTACCCACATCCTAGGCTTCCTCCATTTACTACTGAAGAAATTGAACTCGTTAAGGGTATATATTTAATTGTAGATACAATACACATCTTCAAAATCCCAGGAGAACTTCGAAATCGATTTCAATACCTGTTCATATTACATATTACCACAGGAAAGATGTGATTATGTGTATACCGTGCATACCTGTTTCGGTATTGCAGACTTTACAATGCTTTATCGTATAGAGGTCCAACGAACCGGCGCACATGTACATCAACAGCCTTTAATAGGCCACAGGCCTCTCCCTAAAAGGAGGGTTGGCCTACTATACCACGCTGGCCAGACGGGTTCGTATAGGGTTTGTTTCAAGTTTTCCTTCTCTCTACTATGCTGTTATCCTGCGTAGTTTATCCCTTTAGTCGTATCTTACGACACCTTTGGGATAAATAGGGGTGGTGACACCCTGTACACCGACTGATACGACTGAGGATGATGCACATGTACACCTGAAACTCAACTCAAGAGACACATGTGCGTTGCCGCCCTCCGAGTGAAGAGTTAGGAGTTGCGGATATTGTGTTGTCTAACAACCACACTCAGTCGGTAAAATGCTACGAAAATATTGCTTAACACCGGTTTTTAATGAGCCGCGGTATTACTCCGGTCTGAACCGGCCCGTTTGTGGTGAAACATAGCTCTCCTACAGCTAATCTGTGCAGCAGACTACACAACTTGATCCAATTTACAATTTACTTCCGATACGATTTCAAGGAGTCCCCATTAAGAAGACTTACCGTACAGTTCTTTTGTTTTTTTTCAAATTTGCCAAATTATGGCCTGGGAAGAAAATTTATATAAATATATCACACAAACTCAAACTCAAACTCTCTTTATTTCATAAAATTTTCAAAATTGTTTGAAATCGTCTTTTATGTAAACTCTAAAGTCATAGATCAACACACACAAAAGCAACAATCTCTGTTTTATCAAATAGTAAGCAAATAAATTTAACAAAAATCAAACCCATGCAAAATCTATGATGTGCCTGTGTCGATCTACAACCGCCCGTTTCCAAGGGGTTGAGCCTTATGAGAAGAAAGGGCAAACAAACTCATGGCATCACATATAACTTCGTTTCGGCTTTCAGGCACCTACGACTACTACGGCCTGAATCATTATACTACACGGTTGGTACATAAAGTGAAACCAGGAGAACAACAAGGTACATGGCCTTACTACGGAGCTGAGGAGCTCAAGATCAACATGGTCAGCGATCCTTCGTGGAAGTCATCCGTTTTGGATTGGTTCCCGGTAAAATATTTTCATTTACGTTTAAATAATTTGTTCAGGCAGAAGTCCTGTTTGGAGTGCGTATATGTTGGTGTATGCATGCGCGATAATAAGGACTAGCTGAGGGAAGGAGTTGGGTTTCTGAGGTTAGGTTGAGCTTCTTGGAAAGGCTAATAGAATCAGAGATAAACCAGTGATACCTCAGTAGAGCTTGCTAATTATGATCCTATTTTGGAATTTTTTCATGTGATTTCCTCATGCAGCTGTTTGGACAAATTCAGACATTCCATTAACATTCTTAGTATTTATTACAAGTAGTTTTTATCACATATTGTCTCTTTCGAAGCATTAAATCTCTTTATCTCCTTCCAATTCTACTTCAGACCGACACAATGTAAAACATTTTAAAAGGTTTGGCTGGTTTCTTTTTGACTAGTTTGTGATAACAGATAGGAGGAGGGGGCAAAGGACCTTTGCAACTTGAAGATGTACATAAATAGTAGTACATCTAAGACTTGCTCTGTTGGCATGGGTTCCGCCTTAGAGATCCGTCGCGTGGCTGTAGCTATGCTAAAAATCTATAAAAGAAAAAGTTTTTGTGACCGACTACTCCGCCGCATACCTAGTGTCATAATGCTGTGCACGCCGCCGGCAAAGGTAGGTAGCTGATACCAGGAGAGTAGGATGGAACTGAGACTGTAGTAACTCAAAGAGGCTAGGGTGAGGTATATTACACCTGTAATTGAAGAAATTGTTTTCCTCCAGTTCTTGTCTTGGGGAAGGCCGTTAGGATAAATTCCAGTTTACCCCCCTCCACTGAAAATTACGAATTTATTTGCGTTCAATATAAAACAATCAACAGTCTTAATCTTGATGATTGAAGTAAATATCTTCACAGATATATCCTGAAGGTCTTCGGAAGCAGCTGCACTGGCTCACCGCGAAGTATGACGTCAAGGAGATCATCATCATGGAGAACGGTTTAATGTCTTTTGATTCTACCCTTAATGACACTGCAAGGTTGGAATACGTCAGGGATAATTTGGAACAGGTTTGAACAAATTCAGATATTCCTAACTTTAACTGGATACATTTTTTAGGGCGGTAGGCAGTTGATGATGATGATTAAGTTTATATGGGTTTTAAAATTTACCCAGAACACTACTAACGTGAAGATACTCCTTGTGACTTGTAACACAGTAAACTTTCAGCAATAAGAAGGTACATTATTCTAAGCGATAGGCGCAGTTAGACTAACGCATATGTATGTCCGAAAAGGTACACTTAGGCGAATTAAAAGACCACATTTTCCTTTTCATTTTTTTTTGCAAAGTCTTACTTTAGAATTATGTAAACGATGAACCACAACGAAGAACTACAATTAACCATATTCACCAATTACTAACTATTTGATTAGATTGAGTCCCATTTACGTAACAAAGGCATCTTAAGGGTAAGATGGGAAAGTTTGGATAGTACGGATGGATTGGGGAGTGTTAGCTCAGGCCAGTCAAGGTTCGAATATCTGTCACTCGCACTAGCTGTCACAAAAAGATTCAGCCCTCTAACCAAATTTAGAATGTCAGCTAGGGTTTAATTATAGTGACAAAGAAAATTCTGAGATGCATTTAAAAATGGCACTTGTGGCGTACGTATGCAGATAATAGAAAATAAACATGGCTTATCACAACCATGGACATTTTGTTTTCAGGTTGCATTGGCGATAAATGATGGAATCCCTGTTACTGGGTACACAGCGTGGACGATGATGGATAACTTTGAGTGGCTTAGTGGATACAGGTAAGGTTTTCAAACAATTGTGATTACCTACTGTCCGTGTAGTGACGGATTAAGAATACGGAATGTCACTACCCCAATTCTTCTCGTGGGTGTCGTAAGAGCCGACTAAGGGCGCAAAATAACGCAGGACACCAGCAGTGCAAAAAGAAGGAAAACTTGACACAAACCCTGGCCAGCGTGGTATAGTAGGCTAAAATCTCCTTTCTAAGGAGAGGCCTATGTCCAGCAGTGGACTATTAAAGGCTGATGATGTGATGTGATTGTGAAACTCCAATCTTGCAATATAGGTAACACGAGAGATGGATAATATATAGAAGCCTCTATCTCTTTCTAATTAAATTGTGGTTGGCTAGAGAATACGAGGGTTTAATAAGGAGTCAACCGCAGCTTAGCTAAACAGAGACAGAGGAAATTATGGGGCATCCATCTATCTTGTTGCCTGTATCGCTTCCACTTACAGGCATCTGTACTCCATGTTCTCTATATGCTTATATCTCTATGTTAAATACTTCTAGATAGTATGTTGAAATATTCAATTCTTAAATTATCATTTAAGAATTGTATATTTTAACATTCTAATCCTAGATTTTCTTTTATAAAATTATTTTTTTGATAATAATCCGTAATACGTAACTGTAGGTATTTAAAATATTGCCAAACTGGAAATTAAATATAGTTGCTGTCTTCGCCAAAGATTTTCTAAAGGCCGTAGCTTTTAGCAACAGTTTTTCCATGTTTCTAATTAAGCTTGTTTCTGTTTAAACTGTGTACGTTTAACATTATTGTATCTATCTATAATTTAGCGTTAACTACATCATAGAATGATGCAACTTCAACTTTATTTTCAGTGTGAAATACGGGCTGTATGCCGTTGACTTCAACCATCCCAATCGAACCCGCACTCAACGAAACTCAGCGCGCTTCTATGCAAACGTGACGAAGACCCGGACACTGGTCACTTCTTAGAACAATCTTATAAAAGTCAAATATCAATAAAAAATTATATAATTTATTAATATTAAATATTACCTAATTAAAAAAAAACTTTTTTGATTAATTGATGTACCTGCCCAAGTGGGTTTTCTAATCACAAGACGAAATCTTCGAGTTACTGCATTCACAGCCCTATATCATTTGTCCGTTTTGTTCTCCCTACCTTAGTTTACCTTCTTCTTTTGTCCCTTCTGACACGAACACATTGCCATGAAATTGCTCCGATCCCAAATTAAATTAGAAAAGGGCAAAACGCTCACAATGACTGACATCTAATAACATATTAACAGTTAGGATAACACAAAGACCTTTTTCAAGTACTGTCTACTCTATCTAAAAATCTTTTGGAAATAACGATAATTCACGGGTAACCAGGTAACCAGAGACCTCGTCACCAGTGTTAAAAATCCCCACGGGGATCTCCGGCCGTCGACACGATGCGGTAACCGCTTATGGCTCTAACCGCCAACACCCTCAAAAATTTCACACATAATTTAATATACAAACAATAAATAAATATAAATTAATTAAATATTATATAAAAAAAAAAAAAAAAAAACATGCACAAACCCGAAATATAAAAAAAAAGTAACTACAGCCGCTCATAGACACCTGCAACAGTCACAAGTCTGTCCATTAATCCAGTCCATTTGAGAACCCCAAATCCGTCCAGAGTTAGGCCGGGAAGAATGTTCTCCTCCGGGAATCTCATTTCCTGGGTAAAGATCAACGAAAGAATTGCCAGTGACAGGAATCATCCGATGGTGAATGACTACAGCCATCTTTGGGTACTTGTATAACAAAAACTGCTAATGCTGCCGTTTGAGTCATCATCATCATTAACAGGTTTAGATAGGGGGTATAGATAGGTGGTATAGGGTTTGTGTCAACTTTTCCTTCTCTTTGCAGTGCTGTTGTTCTGACTAGTTTGCTCGATTAGTTGGCTTTTACGACACCCACGGGATGAATAGGGGTGGTGAACCTATATCCTTAATTTTTTTTTTTTAATATTATTAAAAAAATAGTTGTTATTCTTTTACCTACGTGTTAACCACGGTTGTCTTTTGTCTATTGATAATAATTAATGAAAGTACGACAAGACTCATTTAAGTACATCTTAACTTATTCGAAGACAAATTCATTTAATTCCACAACTTCAGGTACGAAGCTCAGGTTCAAACCAGAAAAGACACTGATAACAGCAGCAATACGCTTGTGACTCTTGACTTGTGTGTGTGTGTGTGTGTCCATGGGTGGTAATAGTCACTTACGGTCAAGTGACCCTAGTTCAGGTGCCTGAAGTTTTAATTACCGCAATGCAAATGATGCGTTAAATGTGGCATGTCTTCATTATATCGTCGGTGGCTTTAAGATAGTTTTATGGAGTGTAGAGACAAGAAGAACTATCTCATATGGCGGGAAAGTTGAAAAAGTGTTCAGCTGTACACTGAAAATAGAGGTCGCTGGCGTACGAAAAACTACGATGAACATAGCTGTTGTAGATGGAGTGAAGTGTGCCGAGTTAAAATATTATAATACTTTTACTGTCTGAAAGTTATTACGAGTTTATTTATTGTCTGTAAAACTCATTGACTATTTTCACAGTCTAGTACACAGTGCCTAATTATTATGTAAGCCAATATAAATTTATCCTAGGCTACCACAGCGCCGCCCTTATTGGACTCGTTTTTACGGACACTTTTCACACACAGAGATGGTTCTCTCGTCTTGTCTCTACTCTCCATAGATAGGTTTATAATAGGGTAAATCATTATCTTTTTATTAAACGTGAAAAGCATAGACGGGGTACTTTTTTGAATGAAATACTGTGGAGCTACGTCATAACTCAATATTGTGAAATCATTTATAGCTAGTGTTGATTTCAAGGTATCACTAAAAACAGTAAATTGATAACGGAGGATAATTCAGGCTCTATCTTTTTTTTATGTTAGAGGGGGCAGACGTCCAGACGGGTCACCTGATGGAAAGTGACTATCGCCGCCCATGAACGTCTGCAACTCAGGAGTGACAAACGCGTTGCCGGCCTTTTAGGAAGGAGTGCGCTCTTTTCTTGAAGCCCGTTCCACAGTTGTGGAGCGCCAACTATCCAGGTAATGAGGATGAAAATTTTTCCATGTGGAACGATGGTGGAAATTTGCGGCTGGTATTAGACCGAACAATTAGTCGGAGCACTCTCCATGAGATATGCAATAGAGAATGCAGAATGAAGCCACATGTCTACGTAACGCCAAGGGATCGAGCCGATCGGAGATGTTTGGGCTATCGACGATTCGAGGCGCTCTTCGTTGGATGCGGTCCAGAGGAAGAAGCTGGTACTGAGGTGCCCCTGCATAGAGATGAGAACAGTATTCCATATGCGGCCGGACTTGCGCCTTATAGAGCTGAAGGCGGTGGGCCGGAGTGAAATACTGCATCGCTCTGTTCAGTACACCGAGCTTCTTCGAGGCCAATTTTTTAAGATGTTACATTTTAATATGCAGGAAAATTGATTTATTTTAAACCTAGGACACTACTTTATTATCACTTAGTCTAAACTTTGAGCTTTTGCAAGGTTGTTACACGTTCGGTTCACATTTATTCGCTAAAGATATTAGAAGAAGAAAGATATTAAATATTATTGCTGTTTTCTTCGCTATTTAAGGAAGATACTATTAATGTTTTTAAAAGAAAATTATTTACGTTGCTCTTAGATAAATGTTTCTACAGTATCAAAGATTTTTTTGACGATAAGAAATTGTGACATAATTATTAATATTACTAAATAATGCATGATAATGTTGTAAAAAAAAACAGCAAATTCACTCTACTAACATTTTGTTCACCAGATAATGGTAGAATGTGGCTAGCATCTAAAATGTACCTACTAACAAGTCTGTATACCCATATTCTGACAAATAAATATATTATTATTCTCTTTATTTAATTAAATATACATATAAATTACATTTTTAAATATATTGATATACAAAAACAAGAAAAAAATACATTTAAAAATATAAAAAATAGGACCCCGTCGGTAAAGGGTACAGGGACCAAGATATCGGTAGTTAGGACTCCAGAGAAAGAAACTTCCTCACAATACGCGCCGTATCGAGGAGAACTGCTTTCTGCATCAGGCCCTTAATCCAACTGCCTAACGCGAGCCTAACTTGTCTCATCAGTCGAACAAATAAACAGCGATATTTATAAACAATAGACGTTGCAAAACTAAGGTTCTCACAATAAATCATAAGAACAATAACTTGTGAAAGAGCGAAGTGCGTCAAAGGTAAAAATACATCCCTAGATATCACGAATAAAACGGCAAATGGCACTACTAATGCAAATCAAACAAAAAACATTATGATTTATTATGAGAAAAACGAGGAAAATATTCTTAAATCTTCATGATTGCCCCAAGCCTGTTTAGTTGATTACCTAGTAATAGACACACATGTTTAATACTAGTTACCTAATGCATGGGTTGCTAATCAAAGATGACGTCAAACAAATACTACTTTGAATATAAATAGACAACTATTAAAAAATATTACCGAATGCCATTGAACATTAGGATGAATTGTAATTAATCACATTCTTTAGGGAATAAAGAATTTTCCATCTTTAGGGGTAATGTTGACCTCGGTTTAACAAATAAGACAATAAATACTTATACCTAATTAATAAATCTCTCTTTTAATACTCAAAGTGTAAAAAGCACTGGCGTACATACGCCTTGTTTAAACTTCAAGAGTCTTTGGATGAGAGAAATTAAACTTCGAACAGCTCAACAAATCAATCCGATATATTTCTTCAAACTTGGGTATCAACTGTCTTAACAAATATATATCTACTAAACCCAAGAACCAAAAATAGAGAGATTCAGCTGGACTGAACAATGCCATCTATCGAGCGCTTCTACAACTTTACTTTTACAAAACTAAACACTCCTAAGCATTTAATATGAATAATAATAATAATCTACCACATTCACACAACGCCATCTAGTCCCAAACTAAGCAGAGCTTGTACTATGGATACTAGACAACTGATATAAATACATATATACTTTTTTTTTGTAAATACATACATATTATACATAGAAACACCCAGACCAAATCAAACATTAAATGTTCATGCACACAAACGTTTGACTTGAGCGGGAATCGAAGTGAGGTTTCCGGAGCCCAACCCCCCTATATCCCCCCTCATGATAGCATCGTTAGAAAATATTCTACCAGCTGCGTTAGCGTTGGCGAATTCCCCTCTGGACGTCCACGCTCAGAACACCATGCGTCTGCACGTGGATGTCCGGGCTGCCCCGCGTATTCTGGGGGGGAATATATCTGCCCGCGGCGATAGCAAGCACATCAGGCCACCCCTCGCCACGCTTGACGTGAATTTCTGCAATATAAGGGGCCTTCACTCCAACCTCAACGAACACGAACGGAACACTCCTTTGTTGCTTTGTTGTTCGGCTTAGCAATCTTGATGGACGGGACCTTTCCATCTTGTGGCTCCTGGTAGACAGCGACGATCATCCCCGCGTCTACGCATGCCTCTACAGGTCCCATAGCGGTGACACCAAAACTGCCGACTGATGGACCACGTCCAAATGGCTACAGATTCCGTGCTGCAGCAGATCCCATACGCGGAGATCGTGATACTTGGCGACTTTAACGCTCACGACGCCGAATGACTTGGCTCACGTAAGACCGATCATGCGGGGGGATCTGTTGACGATTCCGCCCTGACCTATGGCTTGTCACAACTGGTATCAACACCCACGCGAGTTCTAGATGTGGAAAGTCATGAGCCTTCACTGTTGGACCTTCTGCTGACCTCCGATCCGGACGGTTACAAAATCGCAGTTGAAGAACTACTTGGCTCCTCGGATCTTTGTCTAATCTGCAGTACACTCACGTACCAACCGCGGCCGTGAGTTGCAGGCTGCCGCCGTGTCTGGCACTATA